CTGATACATCGTGGTATTCAGAAATCAGAAATAGTAAGTTCACCAGTGGAAATGTATTCACTTTGGGTGGAGCTACTATTGTTTGGAAATCCAAAAGATAGACTTGTATTGCATTGTCGTCTATGGAATCAGAACTTTTTGCTTTAGCCTTAGTTGGCGAAGAGGCAGAGTGGATAAAAAATCTGATTATGGATATTCCTTTGACTCGGCTAAAGATTAATTCTTTAAGCCTATTTTGTGATAATCAAGCAGCTGTCCAAGTTGTTAAAAATGCTCTCTTTAATTCAAAGATAAGACATATAAGATTGAGACATGTGTTGTTGAATTATCTGAGAAAACAAGGAGTTATCACCTTGATCGATGTGAGATCGAATGATAACTTGGCTAATGCTCTCACAAAAGATATGCCTAAAGATCGATTATTCAAAACAGTGGGGGAAATGGGGTTAAAGACTATATAGACAAGTCTTAATTACCATTTACTTACCTTTTAATTGTGTGTTTTGAATTATCGAATCTTTCTTTTGTTGGCCAAAATGATAAGCACTATTTATATGTTTCATCGAAGTTCATCGTTGCTAATTAATTTAAAAAGGGTAAGTTGTCTCATTCCAAACTTGATGAAGATAACTTGAACCTGATTCAAAGGTTCTACCTGGGAAACTTGTGTCATTCCGAACTTGATGATACAATCCAACCTGGTTGGACCATCCTTTTGGTTAAATGATCTCATTCCAAACTTGATGCTAGATTATTTGACTTTGAGGAATCAGTAATTGTGAGATTCCAAATTGAAACATTGAAATAGTTGTTTGCATAATAAGCCTATGGGTCATGTTCTTAATTGAAACTTGACATCACATGACTAGGTTATTGTAAATAACTTGACTATTGGTTCTGTTCATTGAAACTAGACAATAGTTATTCTCTTACAAATAAACTTAAGTTGATGGCTCTTTTCAAAACAAATTGTTTAGGCCTTGTTCATAATTTATGAAACTGGCTTGATGCTTTATGACATTAATATATGTTCTTATTTGCCTGGTGATATGATGTTAAGTCCTTTTAGTAGAACTAGACATCTTTGGTAGATTATTCAACTGATTGAATTCATAATAATATGAAATTCATACTTGATATTCTACAGAGGATGGCAGAGATAGAGGAGAGGTTAATGAGAGGGATCTCGACTAAGATCACCTCCTTGATGAATGAATATATCATTTAGAGTATGTGGGGACTTGACAGTTCACCCGCTATTGCCCATTTTGATGGAGTCCATTTATTTGAGACTTACATTTTGCTATCTTTAATTTATGAACATTGTTGATTGTGAACTGATTTTGAGACTTATTTTGGATGTTGGGATTTGGATGAGTTTAGATTGAATCTAAAACTCTAAATATTTACTTTGGTATGTTGGTCTCAGAACAGATTCATGATGATGATGATTTATTTATTTAGATTGAAAATGACTATTGAGTTTAATGTTTTACAGTTAAAACTCTTTGATTGATCCGAGTTAGTTGTCTTGGACTGGGATATGAATCATTCATATTTATTTGAACATTACATTGATCACTCTATTGGATTGTGCTATATGGTGAACATAGGAGGAGATTGTTGGGTATATTAATAATATAATCCAATAGTATATTCACATATAAGTCCAATAGGTGAAAGCATGGTTATTTGGGTCCGTATGGGCTGGAGCCCAATAGCTTGCATTATATCTAGGGTTTCCTAAGCTAGAGGTAACACTGTTGAGCATTCCAAACTTGATGTCTTTTGGTTTAATACTTCAAGCATCTCTAAACCTTTCTCTCTCAACCTCATAACCTCCAACACCAAATTATAATTAATTATATAATTATGGGAAAAATGTTTATCATTTTAAATGACATGAAGTTATATCATTTTAAGAGAGAGATAAACACAAAAAAATATTTTTTATTCAAAATTTAAATTAAAAAAAACCACTCACTTTCTCTCCCATAATTTTCATTCTTTGTATCTATCTCTCATTTAAAATGACATAACTTAATTATGTCATTTAAAATGACAAACACCAAATCCTATAATTATATATAATAAGTATAATTTGTTAAACTTTATTCCTATATAAAATAAATATAATTTTTAAAATTTATTCCGGACCAAAACTATACCCAAGTTATATGTGATTCCGCCACTGCATGTATGATGATGAACGGGCTCTTGCAGTGAATAACATGAATACAAAAAGGCTTGGATTCTCTAGTGAGTAATTATTGCAGTTATGGTGACGTAGATGCTACGAAAAATATTGACGGTTCACTCAAGTGTCAATAATATAAACCCAACAATACACAAGAACTGCCAAAAGAGCGAGTACGGTTTTGAAGAGTATTACAATCTAAATGTGAAAAAGATTCATTAATTCTTTCATTAGTCAGTGTACAATATGGCATCTTATATACAAAGAGAAAGGCAAAACAGAATACAGTTATAACAAACCAAATGGCCTGGCACTAGAAACTAATATATACAAAAAAATAAAATGAAATATAGTATGTATATTTTAACAAGAGGACTTTGGGTCTGGATAATTGTCAATAACTTTACTCGGGACTAATCTCGTACTTCACTATCTAGATTGTAGGGATACTGATAGATTTAATTTGTCCGGATGGATAATTAGGGTTATGGAATAAAAAAGAAAAGAAGATGAAATAAAATCTAAATCAAACTAACGAGATATAGGCAACAAAAACGTTTTCTTGGATTTTTTCCTTAGGACAATTAAATGCATGGATAAGTTCTCCAAAACGCAACCATCTCCACTTTTTTTCATTTTAATTTTTTAATATCTTTTTATTGTTGCTGTAAGTGGGAAAATAAATAGAGAGGTACGTCCCGTGTTGTTTGTTATCGTAATTGTCATGCATAACAAATCTATATATAAAACCAGATTTCTCTTTCATGTATAGCGCCTGTCACTCCAAAATTCATTTTAAATTCATCTTGAAACGTCAATAAATTTTTATCTTTATCATCTAACATTTTTTTTATGTGAAACACTGTATTTTTCAAAAAATATTTGATAGGATTAATGTTTCCCCAATACAATGTGGCGAAGACACATTGTACATTGGGCCCCAGTTTATTTTTGACAATTAGCCAGAGCCAGCAACGTATTTTAGCTAGTGTCAAAAATTTTAGTTGGTGCCAAAATAACTACGATAATATACGTAAAATGTGGCTAATTTTCAAAAAAATTGAAACATGATTTACTATGTTTATTTAGCTACACTTGAAATGTGGATAAATTAGTCAGTGCCAAAGTATCTGTTGGTGCCAACGTGGCTTCGCCACTGCAATTAGCCACGTTTTTAACGTGGCTAACCAACCGTAAATAAATTTCTGAATAAAATTTAGTATTAAACCCCACCTAAATTTTTGTTGGCTCTAGTTCAATGAATGAGCTGGCTCCATCACTGCTCACATAAGAATGGATAAACTCTACGAGAAGAGGAAAGAGAAAGAGAACAAATTAATCTCATTCATTCTTATTTGAGTGCACAAGATAAAGTTATCTAAAAACATGAAAACGATAAGGTAAATTAGTCTCACCAACATTCAACTTGGAAAACCAATCTGAAAAATCCCTCCAACAGCTAATTAAGGGGATGTTTGCCAACTTTCAAAACCGGTTAAAATTATAAAACATAAAATGAGTTATATAACACATAAAAATAAAAATGTTCAAACATTGGTACGAAACTTGTTAAAGTGTTTTAGAAAGTGAAGTATTAAATTAGGTTTTTTTTTAATAATTAAATTATTTTTTAAAAACATGCCTTCATAAGTTTATGTTAGTTTTTTATAACAAAAAAAAAAAACTATGAATTTGTGCCTAAATTCTATTTAGGTAAGAACATGTTTTCTAAATTTTAGCTATTTACCGAACATCTTATATTTAAAAACCACCCTCATAGCCTATTTACCGAACATCTTAACGTCGTATAGCTCGACTCATAAAACATTGGCTCTGGGCCATACTGGACTTCTATCTGGGCTTGGAACCAATCCCGGGTCTCATTTTTGATTCGCTACTTGTATTGATATCAATACTTATGCACCTTTGGTTTTAACAATCTAAATAACTTGCGGGATGTTGAGTTCGCATATTGTTTTTCAATCCTAAGGATATTAATATTAGATATCAAATGTCAAAAAAATCAACTAAAGAAATAAGATACGAGATGTCAAATAACATTTCCATACGTTAGTCATTTTCACCAATGATTTATATAACACACTTTCATGCTCACGGGGAAAAAATAATTTTGATTAAATCGCTTGATTGTGACTTATAATCATTAGATAAACAAGCTGCTAAACCCACAGAATTAGTCTAGTAATAATGAATTTGAATAATATACATGTGATTATCTAGTAGTGAGAAATTTGAATAATCTGCATGAAATTATAGGTTCAAACATTAATTACATTATTATATATAAGTTACACTATCAATCTTTTCGTTTTTCAACTGCAACTTAAGTATTTTAACTGAACTAGTTAGAAGAACTGCTTTATTCTGTGAAGCAATTATTAGCTTAATGTGTCAGAAATTAGGTTATTTGCCTCGGCCTAGGTCCAGAAAAGGATAGAAATATAATCAAAATAGTTAAACAGTTTTTAGTTTTCACAACAAAAAAACAAAAAAACTCGTTTGGTAAGCCTGTTTTGTGAAAAAAAGTTTTAAAAACTGTAACTGTTTTTTTTGTTTTTAGAATCAAATTTAGAGAACATGTCTGAGTTATTTTTGTTTTCTGTTTTGGTTTTTAACTTTCAAAATAAAAAAAAACACGAAAAACAACTGTTTCCATAATTATTCTACAAAACAGTTTTAAGAACTAAAAAACCAAAACACAATCAAACAGGCCCTAAAACTCGCATCCATTACAACTAATTTAAAATAATCTATACTGATCTACTCAGCTACATGACACAATTTACTTGTCTGTGTAATATACAAAGATTACATAAGAATTTGTCCAGAGCGAGGGATAATGATTAAAAGAGTCCAGAATGAAACCAAGCAACACAACAAACTCTTGTCCCGAAAAAGAAAAGAACAAAAAAACTCAAATCGTTAAGTGGTACACCAAAACAATAAAAAGACAAGACAATCGCCCAAAATTAGCTTAATAAGGAAGGAACTCATCCATGTCTATTTCCATCGAAGAAAGAATGCTAAACAAGTGAACGGTGATCAATCAGAAACTCTACGTGATAAAATTTCTCTAACTCTGTACACGTGTGGGTCACAAAAAAAGGCCTACAAGAGAGATGCTCTGCTATTTTTCCATGAATAAGATCTTCGCCTTGTGTGTTGGGGTGTGAAGCTAAGCCCAAACATCTCCTTGAGGGCCTTACCCTGCTCCGAAAACCTGACTAACTTTGCAACTATAGCAGCACTCTGCATTATATGGTTCATATCAGTGTTGATCCATAAACGGTTCGCTAGCTGCATCCTCCTGCGCTTTGAATTCAATACAATGCCCCACTCCTTGAAGAGCCTTTTCCTCTCTTCCTCAGAAAGCCTCATCTGCATAAGCTTGACAAGCATTTCTCTCTCTCGGCGAAGAGCTTTCACACTGTGTCCTCAAACAAACATATGTCAACATGAAATACATGATTATATAAGAAAATCTTCATAGCGCAAATAGTAGATAGATGTACAAATCAAGATAAAGCTAAGTGAATCAAATCAATAAAACTCAAGGGGACGGACCTTCATTTGTAAATACTAAACCAAACCTCCCACCCTCAAAGGAGCATATTGTTGGTACTAATGAATGGATACTCCTTTAGTAAAAATAGGAAAAATTGGGACTCGGATGTCATTGACCATAAAAGGGTGGGTAGAATAGGTAAAGTTAGTTGTATTATATATTTATTTTTTCAATTTTAATAAATAGTGTATTGAGTCTTTAGTATTATGGGAATACTGTAGATATTTTCCACCTTGAAGACCACACACCACACGTCGTATGTGTCAATGTCTCCATATAATTTTTTTTAAATTCTGCATCACAAGGTTTCCTATTACAAAATAACCACTCGACTTTAATTAAATCCCGACTAGCAAAGATGGGATGAGGGCAACCCTTATACCTAGTTTTATCTATACATATTTACAAAGAAATTATTTTCAAAATTTGAACTCCTGACCTTTCAGTTACAAAAGAATAATTTTATGGTTGCTCTAGCCTCACCCTCTTTAAGGTTCCTCATTACAAAGAAAGAATTTTTTTTTTGATTGGCCATATTGGTAAAGAGTGAGGATATTCTAACTACCAAAAATTTTCACTGCTAACTTACTACCCATCACATCACCATTGGATCAAAGAGAGAGAATGTTAAAAAGTTTTTGAAGAGAAAAAAAATGTTAATCTAATGGTGTGATTAAATAGGTAGTAAGTTGGTAGTGGAAAATTTTGGTAGTTAGAATATCCCTCCTCATTGGTAAATGCCCACTTGGATTCCAAATAAGATCATATAATCAAATAAATGCAGCAATGAGAGAGAGAGAACCTTGAAGCTAGTGTGATTGTCTGACTATCTTTCACAGACTGGTTTCCATGAGAAAATGTTTCTTTGAGGAAAGACAGTCTTCTAAGCTCTACCTCCATGTAAATGGAGTCTGTTGGATCACCCCTGAACAAAAGAAAGAAGTAGGTCCTGTGGGTCAATGGTACACAGCAAGATTGCCACAGTTCTATTATCTCTTTTTGCTGCCTCTTGAATTGCAGGGACCAATCTAAAGGAGTTCCAGGTGCCTCCAACATTGGTTCCACACCAACATTTTTCACATTCTTCTCAAACTTAAATGGTTTTCCTTCTGTCTCCTGATCCTACAATTCAGAAAAACGAATTCAGTCAAAAGCATCACCAAGATTAAACAATGACCCTCCATATACAGTTTTTAATCATCAAATGGAACATTGTATGAAAGTATGGATAGCAGTATATACAAGTTACGGCATATAGAAATAATATGTCAACTCTTACATGTCCACTATAAGTATCAAAATACAAGTCTTGACTTCAGAAGTTTGAGTTTCTCCCACTATTTGCTAGGTGAGACAAGGAAGAAAATTTGTGCAGTAAATGCTGGATAAGAATATACAACAGAATGGCCATAGTAAAAAACTTCACCTACGTAGTAACACAATCACATTTACATAGATAACTAATCAATGATTAACTATCTGTATAGATGCGATTAGTAATCAAGGTTGCATAACTAGTATGCCAAAATACAAGGAAATAACATATGAACCATTTCAATTACTTAGGAAAGAAATTGAAAAAGACTATTAATTCTTTACTTGAACTTTAACAATCAAGAAGGAAACTGAAATGATTTATTCTCACCTGACCATCAACAAGCTGCTCCTCATATTCAAGTTTAACCATTTCTTTCATCCCAGCAACAAAAGTCTGGATGCTAGTAATATCCTCAGCAGCAGATGTTCTCATGCTGTTGTCTCTAAACTCATCCACAGAAGGACTTCCAATAGAAGACTGAGAACCATTCCTTGAGGAATCATCAAAATTTAATGGAGGGAACTTTCTGCGCAAACTATGTGGCCTTCCAGGGAATCCTTTTTCAAACTCATTGACTGGAGTTCTCAGTATTTCTCCTCCTGTCTCAGGAGAACCAGACATGTGATATTCCGTACAACTCCAGCTCCTAGTTAATTTCGGATCCCTAAAATTTGACATATTTTCTGACATGGCCTGTGGAGATTGTACAAGAGAATCAATGGTCGATTGTACATCATGCAATCTCTGCTCCAGCACACCATATGTTGAGTTTCCTTGGATCTGACCCTCTTCCCTATCATAATTCAAATGTGTAGATATTTCCTGGCTTGTTCCATTTTCCTCCCCAGATATTGGTAAAGCCATCTCCCCATTGTCACTTAGCGATGGATCAAGATATTCTAAGTTGTCTCTACTTGACTCCTCCATCTCAACACATCGAACTTCTTTGCAGTATTCATCAGGGTCTTCTGTACAAGGAAAAATAACAAGTGTATAATGACCGGATCTGCTGCTGTTATACTCTAGAATACCCTTTTTTATCAAACTATTTACTACAGGCAGAGAGATCAAACGGCTTACCATCAGGATTACTTCCACTGTCTCCATCAATATAGTGAGGATTCTTGAACTCTCTAATGCGCATATCAGGATGATGAGGACCATAAATGCTTGATGACTCTGATGCTGAATAGTCATCCTCCCAGATATCCTCCCCCTCCTTCAAATTAAGATGATTATTAACGCCAGCCAGAACAAAAACAAGAGAAAATCCAAATCTAGAGGCATAACTGCCACTATGTAATAGAATTTTCAGCATTAGGAAATAGAGATTACTTTTCTAGATATCTGCTCCTTTCCGACCATGAGCAGCAAATCCTCAACCCTTGATTGAGCAAGATCTCGTTGCTTAGTTAGCTCCATAATCTCCTTCTCCATCTGAATAATCGAAAACCGTGTTATCAACATTTAAAAAGTAAGGAAAATGTAACTTGCACGAGCCTGAAAATTATATCATTAAGCACCAAAACAACCATATCTCAGATATCTAATTTAAAAATAAGGTTATTAAGCTATATAAAATGGCTACACACAAGTATTTCCAAGGAAAATATAACATACATGTTGAAGAGTGTATCTCTAATCAACAACAAATCTTAAGTAACAATAAGATATATTGAAGAATATCCTGCTTCCCCCAAAAATAGAGAAAAGACAGAGGCAGACAGGCAATCCATTAGGGATCAACTTAAAACATGTTGCTACCCTTCTTAGCCATTATGATACATAAATTTACAAGGGAAAAAGTATTGTTCACTAACACAAGTACCAAGAAAATAAAAGTTACTACAATTCTAAATCAATATCCTTAAAGTTCCAAATCCAGACATGTCCACAATCAATACAAACATAATGGCATGTGAATTCAAACAGCGAATTATGACCTTTTCTATCTGGAGATCTTTCTTTCTCAACAATGCTGGATAATCACAATTGGAGGTAGCAGGACCAGGAGTTCTCAATTCACTCTCCAATCTGGCTACCTCTTTTTGCAATTGCTTGACCAAGGCCTTATCAGACATCACTACATTAACTTGTGCTTTAGTTGTCACTTCTTTAGCACAACAAGCAAAAAGAAGTGTGTTTCTAGTTTGCTCAACATGGTTTCGTGCAGGGCTCAAAGTGCAGATGATAGCTGTTCTAGCATTGCCACCTAAGCAAGGCTGCAGTAAGCGAGTCAGCTTAGAATCTCTGTAATTGATGTGTCCATGTCTTCCCTTGCTGCATTTAATCACATTATGTCAATAAAACTTCAAACTTTTTTTCATTTGGTGTATAAGAAAAAATCCACAGAAACTAGATATGTTGAAAGGGAGTTTCAAGAGCACCACCTAAAGTTTTTCAAAGGCAACGCAGGGGAACTTCCATGTTTTACTTATGAACAGTTATATGAAAAAGTTGCTCCTGCATTTAAGTTTTGAACATGCAGATAAAGGTTCCTAATGTACAGATATCTCCAATTAGCCACGAGGGACATAATAATCTGTCTTCCTTTCTCTCACAATTTCTCAACTATGGATGAAATTAACATCACATTAACTAGATTTCAGCTCTCTAAGGGGAACTCAGTTGCTTATAAATTAACAAAGTGGATACCTAATCTTTTCTTTTTTATGGAAAGGATATCCTACTGACACGTGCTTATGAAATTATAATAGTTGTTAGACAATAATATAAACCATTAAAAAGGCCCTCACCCAATACCTTAAGGTTTCTGGTTGAAGTGGTTCTTTACATGGTATCAGAGCTTCAGTGACCACAAGGTCACGAGTTCGATCCTCATCTCCCCCCACTTTCTAGTGGAATTAAATAAGCAAAAGGTAAAAAAAAATTTGGGTCTATGCAATATCCACGCTTCAAGCTCAAAGGGCTCTTGCGTGAGGGGGTGTGTTAGAAAATAATATAAACCATTAAAAAGGCCTTCACCCAACACCTTAAGGTTTTGGGTTGAAGTGGTTCTTTACAATGGTCTCAGTCCTATAGTGCGAAAAGAAAAACCATTGCCCTAATCAATTTCATGCATACAGAATAAATACCAAGCAAACTTATAGCCAGCAAGGTCATAAAGAAAAACTAGACAATATGGTTAAGCAATAATAAAATTAATAGACATCTGAATCACTGAAATTAAATAACTTGGATGTAGATTTCCTAACTACAACAGAAACTAAGAAAACAGGGCAGACTTCAAAAGCTAAGGAATAAGTAGACAACCTAAGCTTACGAATGACCGTTCCAAGTGTAAGTAAACTCCGGTTTATATGACAACCTTCTTTCAATCTCACCCCAGCTGATGATGCCTGAGATGCACGCTCACTCCCTGCCAAATCAACAAAGTTCTGCAGAGAAACAAAACAAATTGAATAATTATGAAATCTTTGATGAACATTTTATGACCTGCACAAGAGGGGGGAATTTAATAAATGTAAACATACCACACTAGCTGCTAAGGTGGTTGAGTTGCCTTTGCCGAGGAATTCCCTGGCTGAACTTTCCATTGTCTGAAAGATCACAACTCCATTAATAGAAGTCTATGCAGTAAATATACAGCACAGTATTTTAAGAAGACAAAGGTAAGGCACATACCAGTCTGATAATTTGGTGAGATCTAGAACTCTTTTCATTCAGGTATGTCCCTCCTACCTGTCTCTGAGCTGCAAGAATAAAGTCGGCAATGTAATGGTACTGACTGCTGACTACCATATAACAAGAATATGCAAATTCATTTACCTTCACAGAAAGATAGGAGCTCTTTCAAATGCCCCCAGTCCCGTAGAGTCTCCTCTGTGAGTTTTTCTAAAACGGGTCCTCTCTGATGAAAAAAAATAAGAATCATGAAACAAACTGTTAATCATACAATCTTGTTTATTAAAACTTCTATCCACTATATAGTAAAAGGCATTCACCTCAGGATCATCACGCAGCCTAAGTGGAGTACTGTCTGTGCTAAGAAGGTCTCTAACAATTTCATTGTAAATTTCGATTGCTGAAAACTTCAATACAAATGCTCTTTCTTCATGCTAAAAAAGTCACAGCAACCTTGTGTTAATAGCACTTAGTAATATTAAAAATGAGTTATGGTGAAAAATGATACTGAAGAGTTGAACAGGCATTTCAATATAATAGTAGTCTATTTACCCTCTTTATATAGTCAAAAATATCTGCTACAGCATATTCGGTTATTCCAATCATCGTGTATGTCTTTCCACTACTTGTTTGCCCGTAAGCAAAAATACTTGCTGAAAGAATATATAAACAAAACCTATATTAATCAAAGTGGAAAATGGGTCATAAGAAATTAGCCGGCATAACAATATATACTCACAGTTAATTCCACCAACAACTGAAAGAGCAATTTCTCTGGCTCCTTCCTCATAAACCTGCCTTGTGGCACAGTCACCCTGAAATACTCTGTCTACCACCAATCATAACTAAATTCAGAAACATTCTGTCCATAAATGGACCACCAATGCAATATGTCTTAATAAAAAATCATTTAACAAAACTATACACAGTGCATTTTGAAGTATAATAAAGTAAGGTCAATTTAAAAATTAAAGTTGAAAAAAAAAAAAACATACAGGGATTGACAGCTTAGCAAATTATGTCAATTGATTCAACCAAAAAAAAAAAAAAATCACTTTCCTTTAAACTCAACTAGTAAGTTTGAGGTGGAGATAATTATAAAGAACCATTTCAACCCAAAACCTTAAGGTGTTGGGTGAGGGCCTTTTTAATGATTTATATTATTCTCTAACAATAATCCCTGTATGATTTATATCGCAGTCTTATCTTTACACAATTACAAAGAGACTGTTTCCTATATTCGAACTCATGACCTTTCAGTCATGAAATAAAGGCTTTACCACGGCTTTGGTTCGCACCCTTTGATTCAACCAAACAGGCAAAGAAAAATTCACCAAATGTTGTATATAAATATTTTCGCAAGTTAGACCAGGTGAATTAGGAAAAGAGTGCATCTCCGCCATAGCGAGTTAAAGCAATAGAATCTGAGACTATTTAAAATATAAAAGTAACTAAACATTGTTCTCCACGTTCTGAGCCCCCAATAAATTGTTAATATTAGGTAAATGTGAAATTGTAAAGTTCAGTTTCAATGGCAATACAAATTTCCAAATAATAAAGCAACATTAAGATAAAAGAACAGACATATGCTTACCAAATGTGTAGGCGCTTGGAAATGTGGAACCCTCACGCAGTGTGTTCCGGTACAAGATGGTAGTATCATTAATGCATTCCCAATCTGCTGATTCATTAGCAGCAATTTCCTTCTCACTCAAAGGCCTCAACCTTACTAACACGAGGATCTTCTCTTCACGACCACTCACCCCTTGTGTCTTCTCCAATTTCAACAGCTCTTCTCCAGCCATAGCCCCCATTGTTCACTTTTAACTCAATATTCTTTCCAACCCAATTAACAAGCTAATCAGAAATCAGAACAAGCCCATGAATCCTAAAAGAGGATAAGTTGTGTGGCTAATTATTAATGTTATTCTTCATTTCCTAAAATGTAAGACATTTAAAAGAAAACAACTGGAAGTTAAGAAAAAAATAATAAGCCCTTAACTATATGGCAACAAGATAATCATAATCATGACTGAACAAACTCAGAAAGTAACAACCCATTAGTTCCGGTAGATAAATAAATAGGCAATAACAGCAACAACGAGCTAACTTTAGATTATATCCAACCAACAGAAAGAAAGACCAAGACAAAAACAGAATGCTAACTAGTTACGTTATTATCATTAACAATTAGCAGTGGTTGGCAATATATCACGCCCAAAAAGACTTTTCTTTCAAGAGAGAGAGAGAGATGATTAATCATGACTTTAGTGCGATTAAAGGACATGCTGGTCTTTTGCTTATTATTTGGTACCAAGCTTCATCTAGATAGAAGAATAAAGAAGGACGAGAGGAGGGGGATTTTTTTTATTTCCAAAAAAAAGAAAGGCTGAACATATAAAGCGAGGTTCTCATTTTTAATCCTTCCTTCAACAATGACCAATTGTAATGTAAGAATAGAAAACTTTCCATTGCAGCGACCCCACAAGAACGCTTGAGAACGAAGTAAGTAACAAAGTTTCACATAAATATTAAATTGATCGTGACATGGTAGTTATGCAAAGCACTGGTCCCCAACACACAGAGGAACATCCTTTTCAGTTTTCACCCTCCTTCTCTTTAATTTTCCTTCTGGCCAATAAACAAAAGCAACACAGACACTCACACATTCTCGTAGATATCAGTTTTTGACAAGGAGGAGAAACCAAGGAATTTTTACCTTCGAAACTACCGTCCTTTTCACGTAACAACAATAACACAATTCACATAACAAAGTAGTTTACGAATCTGCACCCTCCGCTAAGATTTTCGCTCTATTCTGGAACTCCTCATTCCGTGATCATAAATCAGGTATGGGATACGAACGTATTCTCCTGTGAAAACTATTGTGATGATCATAATTAGAAATGATTTATCATCTCTTCTTTTGAAAATTCAGAACACTGGTTGATACACAACTAAGTGCTCCAAATCAAAGTTCAAACTTGACTGGATCTTTTGGAACTCAGTAAGTATAATCTAATCTTCTCCAGAAGTCCGCACGAACTACAACGTAGCTTTGAACTTCGGATTTTTTTAAAAGAAAAAAAAAAGATAGTGACCAACCAACAAATCGAGAAAAGAAAGAAGAAAAGAGAAGTAGTCAAATAGAGAAAGTACTTGGTTAAGGAATAGAACAGTGAACATCGGAAACAACTTCACTTCACGACCCACCACGATCTGAAACAGAAGAAAACTACCAAAGTGAGTGAGTGTGAGAGAGAGTCGTCGGTTGCTTCCTCTCTCTCTCTCTCTCTCTCTCTCTGAAGCTCACACGCACAGTTGAGAATGGACCAACAGGCACGTAATATTATGATAGGATGTCAATTTCTTCGAAAATGGTTACGTTTTTTCCGTTGTATTTTTGAGAAAAATATCTATCTTTTAAAATAATATAACCTTATATCATTTTACATCGTAATCGTTGATTTTTGTCCATTAACGGTTATAATTTATTGGATCAAACTTAATGGGCCAAATTTGTTATTAATTAATTAATAATTTTGATCCAATAAATTATAACCGTTGATGGACAGAAATCAACGATTACGATGTAAAATGATATAAGATTATATTATTTCAAAAGATAGATATTTTTCTCAAAAAAAGGATAGATATTTTAAAGGATAGATTTATTTTTTTAATAAATCTTCACGAATTTTTATACAACTTCGTAAACATTATATTTTGTCTCTCTCTCTCTCCTTCCATGTCTGAATTTTTAACCTTGAGTGTTTTTTTTTTATGTTTCTGTTTTTTTATCTCTGTCGTTTTGTTTTTATTTGAATTTTTTTTCTTACCCTCGCTTTGGTGGGAGGAAGAGAAAATGACGATTGTGTCCCGAATTTTTGCTTTCGTGTTTCGATGTCTGAAGAAAAGTCTCTCGGTCACGTGATGGTGGGACCAGGTGGTAAGGACTTTGTGGTACCACGTGGAGATGTGAGCGTTTGTCACCCAAACACCGTTTCGGTGCCGTGCGGACGAACCACTTCTACCCACTAACGTTAATGTTTTAATAACTGCGAAACCGTCCACGCGTAATGAAGATCCTTTCCACGCGCATCGTTACGCGTTTCGAATTTGTTGTGTCTAACGGTCATCATAATTCTAAAAAATAGTTAGGATATAAAATTCTAACACTTATTTATATTATATTTTACTAGCGCGTACCAAGTTAAAATCTTATTTTATTATGACAAAAACTTAATATTAACGATTCAATCACGGCTTTTTTGACCACTATAGCTTTTTTTAATAATTAATTATCAAATTGACCCTATTTATAAACTATTTCAAAAATTTAACCTCTCCAGAAAACATAACATCAATCTGCCCCTGTTTGACCGTTGACCATGAAGCCTACCCGGGTACACCCCTACCTACCCGGGTAAATTTTAAAAAATTTTACCAACCCGGTACACCCCTCCCTACCCGGGTATATTTCTTGAATCTGGAAAATATTTGAATTATTTACCCGGGTAGAGAGGGGTGTACCCGGGTAAATAATCATAACTCAAGCTTTTCTCTTCTTGCTTTTCTTCTTTGTTTCTGGTTTCTTTTTCAAACCTTGCAGAGTCATTTTAAGAATGGCCAATTTCTCAGCATCTGGGACAACCCTCTCCAACATCTTCCTCTTGCCATCTTCAGTTGTCTCTTTTACAGTTTTCCACAACTCAAGCTTGTCAACGCCCAATTCCTTCACCTCTAATTCTGAACATTTTTTTGAATTGTCTGACTGGTGACATGTAATAGCATCCTTTGTTGGAGCAGAACCTTGATTATTTGCTTCACTAATCTCAGGCATATGATCCAGTGGAATATCTTTCATCAATAACCTGTTTTCAGATTTTGTTCTCCATGCGTTAGTCCTTCAATTTAGAGATTTCCATTTGTTGTTCACACAAAGAGGATGGGCGCACACAACCAGTTTATGATTATTTACCCGGGTAAATAATTCAAACATTTTCCAGATTCAAGAAATATACCCGGGTAGGGAGGGGTGTACCCGGGTAGGTAAAAACTTTTAAAATTTACCCGGGTAGGTAGGGGTGTACCCGGGTAGGCTTCATGGTCAAAGCTCAAACAGGGGCAGATTGGTGTTATATTTTCTGGAGAGGTTAAATTTTTGAAATAGTTTATAAATAGGGTCAATTTGGTAATTAATTATTAAAAAAAGGCTATAGTGGTCAAAAACCCATTCAATCACATATATCATATATGTAAGTTTAAACTACACATTTTAACCGTCAAGAATCGATACTCTTCTTTTTAGGACGTGCATGACAATTATTTTATTCTCTAGTCCTGTTTTTTAAAAGAAATAATTCTTTTTTATTTCTGTTGTCTTGAAACAATTTCTGAAAAAAAAAAATGTGTTTGATAACATGTTCTATTTTTATTTTGAAAATGAGAATTGTGTTTGATAACACAACAAATAATATAATAAAAAATAATTCATATTAAATATAAAAAATTTAGATCATCACTTTCCTTTTCATATGGTGTGATTGTGGTGGTGATTGTGACGGTAGTTGCTGCGACGATTGCGGTGGTAATGGTAGCGGCGGCTGTGGTAATGGTGGGGATGGTGTGGTGGAGGTGACGGCAGTGGCTGCGACAATGGTGGTGGGTATGGTGGTTAGTGGCGGCTACAATGGTAGCAGTGACATAGTGGTGGTGGTTGTGAAGGCATCATGGTGGTGGTAGTGGCTGCGGCAGTGGTGGTAGGTGACAGTGGTGATGGTGGCGGTGGTGGTAGTGGTGGCGATGGCATGGTGATTGTAGTGGCAGGGGTGGTGTAATGGTGGCGATGGTGGTGGTGTGGACGGTAATGGCTGTGATGATGGTGGTGGTGGTTGGTGGCGGCTGTGGCAACGACGACGGTAATGGTGACGATAGTGGCTATGGTAATGGTAGTGGTGATTGGTGATAGTGGTGGTGATGGAAGTGGTGGCGTGGTGGTAGTGGTAGTGATGGCGATGAGGGTGGTGGTAGTGGCGTGTGATGGCGGTGACGATAGTGGTAGTGGTGGTGACAGTGACAGTGATAGTGGTGGTGGTGGCGTCGGCGGTGGTAGTTGTGGTGGTGACGGTGGCGGTGGCATCGTGGTGGTGACGACGACACTAGTGGTATGATGGCGGAGGCAGTCGTGTCAGGATGATGGTGGTGGTAATGATGATGGTAGATGTGGAGAGTGATTGAGAGAGATAAGTGTTTATCATTTTGTGCTTGGGAACAAAAAATAGAAATTTGTTGATTCTTTTTAATTTCTGTTCCCCAGCACAAAATTTAATCCGGTTCATCCCGGGAACAAAAAAAACCGATTTTATTAAACGAGTTTCTATTCCATTTTTATTCCCGGGAACAGAAATTAAAAAATAATTGATTTCGAGAAATTTTTAGTATGTTTCTTATTTAATATGTTTCTGTTCTAACTAATTTTTAGTTTTAAATTTTCAAATAATTTTTTAATAAACATTTTTCGATTAAATATTAACTAATCATATTTTTATTTATCCATTTTAATAAAAAGATTTTAAAAAGCGTAATACTTTTTTTGGGTCTTAAAAAACTTATGATTTCACATTTCAATTTTCGTCGGACATTTAATAATCAATTTTTTCGTCAATTATCTCGTATAATAAAATACATGATATTCAGATACGAGTAGTAGACAATTCCGAGGAACTGCTGGCAGTCAAGTATACATTGGATCGTTTATCAGTTTTTTAATTAAATGAAAAATACTAATGAGGTTTCAGAGAAATTGGACGACTTTCTCAAGAAAAGCTTCTTTTTCAGTAAAATAAAAAATATTTATACCAGTAAATTTAAAATTATTCTCACGAAGCCAATTTAAACTAATATGAAATTGAGCGATGATATGTATCTATATTAAGATGAAGGATATTCTAATTACCAAAAATTCTCACTACTAATTTACTATTCATCATATCACCATTGGATCAAAGAGAGAGAATGTTAAAAAGTTTTTGAAGAGAGATAAAATGTTAATCTAATGGTAATTAGATAAATAGTAAGTTAGTAGTAAAAATTTTTGGTGGTGAGAATATCCCTCCTCCTATATTAATAATGTGTATGCTATAGAGATAAATTTTATAAATAAGTAATATAATATTTTTGTAAGGAATAATTGGATCGAGAGAAGTGTGTAATATCATTCTTGTTTGAGAGGGCCTGATCAGAAATTTTGACATAGGCGTGAATCTGTACAACTTACAAAGTCAATGAGAATAATTATTATGTTTACTTTTTATTTTTAAAATAGATTAGAACTTTTCTAATTTTCTTCCTCTGGTATGTTAAAGTTACAAAAATGTTATTTAGCCCATCATCACATTATTACTTAGCTTTTTATTTCCATTTAAATCTTGGTAATTGTATTAATGATTCATTGCGTATTTTTTAATGCTTCGCTGTCAGCTTTGTTAGTCCTAAAAAAACCATAGAAATTTGGAAAATATGCAGTTTGCAGTTAAAATTATTATATATTGGATTGAAAGTTTAGTGTTTACGTATATGTAAATATGACACGAACTATTATTTACCAAAAAAAAAAATTATAGGAACTATTTATGCAAAGTTTACATCAATAAATTAATTTGGATGTATATTCAAGAATAGTTGATATCTTAATGATTTTGGATTGAGAAAGTATATATATATATACCATCAATTAAATGATTAACACGGGATTAATCTCATTGGTTGTTCGAAATCTTGTCTTTTAGTTTGCCTTATCCAGATCATACTGCTGTAGATCTTGAATAAGCTTCCAGAGACACCCACCTTTATATTAAAAAAAATTCAAATGCTATATTTTAAACTTAATTCGAGTGAAACAGTGTGCTCGTTCCTGAATGCCGAGAAGAACCTTTCAATTCCTTGGTTAAATTAAGGCTCTAATTAGGGGAACTTCCTCCTCTGTTGTTTTTATAATATTTATTTATCTTTATGTCCACCTTTATCTTCACTCCTCTAATTTACTTCGGATCACATGAGTTATCTTCAATTCCCTCCGCAAATCAAGTCCAAACTATACTCTATGACAAGGAGACCACAACTATATTTAACTTAAAAAAATGGTTTTCAACGAATTCATTATGGACTTAACTTTTTCAGTTAATATTTAATTATAAAATGGCTTCAAGGTCTAATCAAGGGCAACCTATATGTTCGTGGGTTTAAGCCTTTTTGGGAGAGGAAGAAAGGTAAAGGCACCACTGGGGTTAGCCTAGTGGTGTGGGATGTGTGTGTTAGG